ATGGACGAGTTGAAAAGCTTGTTCATCTCCCAGCAACAGCTTCAAGATCTTTCTCCACTTACAGAGGCTCTGAAGGAGTTGTCCTCCACAACAGCAGATTTGAAGTCATCCATCATAACTCTTCAGAGCTCTGTTCTTCGCAAAGACGATCTCACAGAAGCCTTCCAGGCTATGACTCTCAACCCTTCCTCCATTCAATCTTTGAAGACCGAGCTGACAAAACTTGCTGCATAATTTGCCGCTGATCTCATCTCTTCAGGTTACACTGACTATTCCAACTTCGAAGATGAGATCAAGTAAATGTTTGCCTCTGCGGTCACATATGGCGTCGACTCCAGCTCCTCAAGGGCCAATATCAACCATTTAGCAACGCGCAGAGAACTGGATGCGATGATAGAAATCTTGGGAGGTATTGTGTCGAAGCATACAGATCAATTAATCAAAGAAGCACGAGCTACAAATGTCTCTATCCAAGATTGCACTAAGAAGCTTCTCTCAGAAGGTGAGTCTCTGCGTGACAACCTCTATCTATGTGTGTATAAGATGAGGTGGGCTACGGGAATCGACATTGGGAATGCTACTTCCAATGTTGAACATGCCATAGAATTGATGGAGATGGCTACAATAAGGATTTTGCGAAGATTGAAGAAGACTCCCAGGTTACATGCAGGGCAGAAGCCACAAAAGACCATGATCATCATGAAGGTGATGACCATGATCATCATGAGGGGGAGAAGAAGGCTCCAGAGCCAAAGAAGCCTGCTCCTGCGAAAGGTATCACAATAGTGGAATCTACAACAGCCATAAAGGATAAAGCGCCAGAGCCTCAAGGCAAAGGAAAAGGCAAAGTTGTAGAGCAACCACAAAAGGGGTCGTCTACAAGCTCAGAGTCTATCGATGAAGATCTATACAAAGATGACCCAGAAATGCTACATGTTTTGAAGATGTCTAAGSTAGAGGATCAAGCAAGAAAAGGCAGAGCTCCAATATTCATGCCCCCCAGAGCAGGGGAGGGCACGTCATCAAAGTTCCCATCAGTCCAAGAAACGTCAATGGGTACGTTCGACACTCTGCAGGGATGTATCAAACCTATTCTTGCAGAGGGGTCAACCCAGAGGCCCATACTAGAAGAGGATGAAACCAAGATGGCAGAGCACCCCACAGCAGGAAGGGTGGATGAAATATTTGAGTCAATGAGCAAGATTCCATTCCCTAAACCCCCTACTCCAGAAGAAATTCTTATGTGGAAGTACTCTGCCAAAGACATTGAACCTCCTTATGATCCTGTGGTCACCGAAATTCCTTCTGCCTTCGCCAAATTCAAGTTCTCCAGAATTATAAGGCCGCGTGAGCAAGTCTTCACAGAGACTCCTATTGCTTCACTTGTGACTATCTCTCCAAGGACTCTGCTGAAGAAGTCTATCCTTTTTGCTCAATTTGTTGTAAAAAGGAAGGATGGAAATCTCTACAAGTTCACAGATGCTGACTTCCATAATCTTTGTGTGTATGATGTCCTTTACATGCATAAAATACTTAACGTCTACATGGAAAGAAGGTCTACCTATTCCATCTCGCTCATTAGGTTGATAGAAGTTATGCGCGCACAAGTCAAATACTACAACCAGAAGGACTTCGAGCTTCCAATGAGGTTTGTCCAACAAGATCTAAAAATTTCTCCTCCTAACAGCAGGCCAAGTTGGATTCATAGGCATTCACCAAACACCATCATTCACAATCCCATTTATGGATTTGTGTTTTTGGACAAAGACGAAATCCTAYGCATCTATGATCCAACAGAGACACACAAGTTTTCGACAAAGACACTTGAATGGATCTTCAGAACGGCAGTGGCAGAACTGGACAAAAGGCATCTAAGGGTGAATGAAGTGGCAAAGATCTTGGAATCAATCAAAATTCAAATCAACTTCAGAGAATGGATATTTGAAGTCTACAAAACCATCAAGTCAGATTTGATCCATCCAGTAGATSACTTCCCAGAATCTGAAGTTGGTTAAACCTCTGTAATAGTATATGGCCTGTATCAAACTCTATCTTTTACGTTTTGTAATTTCTTATCAGTCAATTCATTTCGAGGATGATGTTTAATCTCCTTTTGTAATTTCTTTCAATCAAGTCATGCTCTTACACTTTATAGCTTAATTTACTTTTTGATACTTAGGGGGAGATTGTTAGCTCTCATTCCTTAAATGTAAAAGTATAGAAAAAGTAAAACAACAAGTACTAACAGAAGCTGATCTGTCACAGAAGACAACAGAGGACAATCAACAGAAGTAGCTCAATCTTACAAGATTCAAGTGACAGAACCTCTGTCATCCATCACAGAGGTTCTGGAAACTTCTCCTCTGAAAACACCATACTACAAGTCAAAGACGACAGAACCTCTGTCGTGTCTCACAGAGGTTCTGGAAGATTTCCTCTGCCCTCTACAAAGTTTCATACAGCAGAGCCTCTGTGAAGTCTCACAGAGGATCTGCAGAAATGTCTTTTGTATAGATTATCTTAAGTACGCTTTATTTTACTTAGGTTTATTAGCTGCTCGTGACTTTCACGTGAGCTTGTCTGTAATTTGTTGTAGAAGAACGGCTCAGATTTGACAGCTTAAGGTCGTGTCAGGAAACGGTTACTTGCTTGTATAAATAGCAGCGTAGGCCTTTGTATTTTGTGTGCTTCCAGATTTGTATTCGTCAACATTTTCAATCTATTGAAAATCATTTGAAGCATTTCTCCTTGTGTTCATCATCTGTTCTTCATTGTGTTCTTACTGTTTCTACCTGTTTGATTGATACTGTTTCCGCTGCTCTACTACTGTCTAACCGATCATTCAAGTAAGTTCTAGTACCAAGAATCTGAGTTATTCGATCCTAACAGGCATCTAGGACTACTTCAAACTTCTTAACATAATTAGTCCTACCTGGATGAAGTGAAAACAAAAGACGACAAACCAATTTAAACCTCTTCAAAACATAACCAAGGGGTTGTTGACAGCATGAATAGAGTTTTTGAAACAAAACCAAAACCTGTAGAGCACTATAAAAGGAACAGATGGAGGCTTAATAAAAGAGAGAAACACACGCCCTATGGCCCAATGCTTAACAACATCAATCGCAGGCAGGGGTCAAGATAGAGAAGGGTTGGGAACATCATTGAGTTGTTGTGATACAGATTAATGAAAACATCCTAAATTAAATGAACCTGACTATAATCTCTAATGGTCATAACTTTTTTGGACCTCCCCAACATATCACATTAATGGTGATGAAAATTATTATAGGAAATCAACCGTTACCTTCAAACTATGAACACTAAATTTATGATTGATCAACATATTTGCAAAGAAGATAAACCTTTTATGATCAACTACCTATTTTGCTCCTCATCATAAAGTTAATTAGTAGCTACGTTTTAAATTTTGTGTTTCTAATGATGCTAGGTAACATCACTTGCAAACAAACAAGGGGTTTGTTTATAGAAACAACCTAAAGTAGCAGCCATGAAATCAAGACAAATGAAGTGTAACATGAACATATTTAGAGATAAGAGTAAGATTAGTGCTATACAATTACATAATCATCATGTATGACAGTTTCTTAGGGGTTTGTTTATTACAGAATCAACAAGTACGACTAATAGATATAACTGTTTCTTATGGGTTTGTTTATGCAGAACCATGTTCCAGAAAGTGCTAGAACCATGTTCTGTTTTGCAATTATATTCCTACACTTATATAGAAAGTGCTAGAACAATGGATTTTTACATCAAGCATCTGTTTATGAAGGATAAGAATACAAAATAAAAGGACAGGACTTCAGAATTTTCTGGCACGTGACGCCTATGTCTACATAGGAGGCTTTCTGGTTATTAGATGAAAATTTGCATATATTTTGGATTTCAAAATTTACATGTGAAACAAACACATTATCAAACAATGCAAGAAGGTACATATTGCCTAAATGTCACTTCATGTGCCACACGGTTAATTGTGATTCAAGTTGAATATTCGAACACTGATTAATTTGGACATTGACATTGTATGGAGAAAACATGAGAAAGCAAGCATCAACGTGGTTTACAAAAAGTTACCTGACTATCCTCCTTGATTCTTAAATTTTGTCCTGTTAGATTCAACAAGTCGTTAACAACCTGAAGAAAATAGGAATCTTAAGACTGCAACATTACATAACAGAAACCAGGTGTCATGTAGGTTATCCATATATATTATTCAATGTGTTGATTTGGTATGGTCATAAGTGGCATTTATGCAGTCCACATATGTGCACAAGCCTTACACCAACCTTACAATGATGTAAACTTATACTGTCAAAGCATTATCCTACACCAACCTTACAATCGCACTGTTTAAAAGAGGAGATACAATCTGAACTTTGAGAGATCAAATTGATTTTGTTAAAGACAACAGCAAAGTTTTTATATTTTATGTTATGGTATGCATAAAAATATCCCCAAAATACCGATGATGCATTATTTTGGAAAGATACAAGCATTTATTCAGCTAACATGCTCATACAGATTATAACCCTTAAATTGAACAATTTTAGTTTGTTACCAGGACTATGTTGCTACTTGCTCTCGTTTGAACAGATAGATGGCTTTGTATTCATAATCAAGTCCTGTTGGCAAACGACAAACAACATACTCAAATTAAATATCTGTAATTGAAATGCTCATTAGGAGCGTGTACAAACCAACACAATACGCAATCTCATATCTGAGACAATTTCGTCATCAAACTCCCACCATAGGCCTGTATCTTGATCTTTAAAGTGGGCTACATTGTGGCCACTGTTAACATACACAAAAGATATGTAAATCAAAGGATTACCTGGACCGAGTCTTGATTACCTATGGTTGAGTAGAAAGCGGAACCTAATACTTCCAGCAACCCAATATCAGTATACCTCGTTGGAATCAACGGAGGAATCAAAATCACATCTGAAAAATCTTCAGCTGCAAATCGAAATGGAAATGGAAATCAAAACTGAAATGGAATTCTAAATCTAAATCGAAATTAAAATCAGTAGCATACCTCAGAGAAATCTTTAGGGTTTTGAAGAGATGGTAGAGAAATCAAACCACAAAGAGGGAGTTATATGGAGCGATAATTAAGGGATACATCAAATCGGTCACGTGAACATTGAAGGAAGAAACTCTGTTCTAGGTGATACATCAAAGCAACGTCTGAAGACTGTGAGGGAAGAAAACAACATCTGAACCTACCGAAACCAGTTTTGACGCAGGGAGATACATGAAATAAGGAAGAAGAGGACTGAAGGAAGAAAGCAACTTATGAAGCATCCATTTTTGGGTGGTTTTCTGGGTTTAAAAGCTTAGCATAAAAAACTTGTACATCTAGCTTCATAAGTTGTCATTAAGAGTTTTTTGAAATGTATGCATAAAATGGCAGTACTTTGTGTCTTATGGTTTGTAATTAAGATATGAGTCTAAATGCTTATATATGTAGTAAGAGCACAATACTAATACCTTTCACTTTTCAAGCAAATAGTCTTTGCTTGTAAGCAATACATCAAATCCAAACAGGTTTATACTAAATAACATAATGCTACTTTTATAACTTTTTCCGTTCAAACAAGGTTTATTCAAAGTTTATGCCAAACCTGTTATCCCCTTTTCTATAACATTCAGACTATGATTTCCAATAAGAACCCTGATCCTAAATTTTTAAATCACAAAGAAATAAAGATTCCAGACCACATTAATCTTAAGGGATATGATAGTAAGAGTTATATTATATAACACACATATACAATTGCCACCCTTATTTCCAACTGTGCACCTCTCCTTGATATGCCACCCTTATCCCATGGTACACCTCTCCTTGATATGTCACCCTTATTTCTTCATCAAAACATTTCACAAAAACAGTTCCATATAGAATAGACCGTAATCTATGGAATTATTATCAGATCAAAATTATCTTTTTCAAAATTCCCCATTTATATATAAAATGCAAATCCGTTCAAAATAGACTTGGTCGGACTTCATATCCGGTCAAGTCTTGGCCGATTTACCAAGTCCGGACAACAAATCGCCCAAGGCTTGTCCGATTTACCATTAATCCAGTCAACCTTGTCCGAATAACAAATCCAGATGATACTTCACATAACTTGTCCGATTTACCAATCCAGACAACTCATAATTCAAGGTTTTATCCGATTTAAAAATAAACCGGTCACCATTTAGTCGTATTCCTACTTCTCCGTTCAAAATATTTAATCATAAACTCAATCTTTATAAATCGCTCAACACTTGTCCGGTTTAAGACTAAACCGCTCGACTCTTGATCGGTTTAAGTCTAATCCGGACAACACTCACCAAGCGGTTTATTCATAAATCGCTCATGCCCTATCCGGTTTAGGGCTTAAATCGCCCAACCCTTGTCCGGTTTATGGCTAAACTACTTAACACTTGTCCAGTTTATGGCTAATCCGGACAACACTCCAGCGGATAACTTTTAAATCAAAAGTAAAGTTCTACAATCAATTATACAACTATGAAAAGTTTAAAAGCAGTAAGAAGCACTCACCTTTTTGAAACCAATCTTCTTGTAATTCCAAATAAAGAAATTCGGTCAATCACTCTTTTTAAATCGCTCAAAACTTATTTCAAAGATGGCAAGAGGTGTAATAGAAGTCAAACCCTCCTTCTATACCTTTCTAAAACTGGAAAGGTCGGCCAACACAACCTCCTCCCCACATGCATACACTCACCTCTCACACACACACACACACACATATATATATATATATATATATATATATACACTCATGCACATATGCACATACATGCATGCATATCACACATATATACATACGAACATGTGCATCCATATATACACATAATCTCATTCATGCATTTACATTATGCACGTTTTCACATACTAGCATGATCAAATATATCAATTTATCATGTTGTCACATAATCATATATAACAAATAATCGCATATTCATTACCTCAGGTGACAACCAAGATCTGGTTATCACAATAGGTTTATTCTCATTGCCATGGCCCTGATCGTACTACTTTTCTCTTTTCTGCTTAAAGCGTCAGGTATCACATTGGCTTTTCCTGGATGGTAGAGAATCTCGCCATCATAATCATTTACCAGTTCAATCCATCGTCGTTACCGCATGTTTAACTATGTTTGGCTGAACAAATGTTGGAGACTCTTGTCATCTGTGAAGATCTAAAATTTCTCTTTGTTAATTCTCTTCCCACTAAAACTTAATGTTTTTCGTGTCTGCTTAGTTAATGGTACTACAATTCTAGAGAAATTCGGAATAAATTTTCGATAGTAACCTGCTAACTCAAGAAAAGTTCAGACTTCAGAAGGAGTTCTCGGTGCATCCCATATTTCTACTGCTTCAATCTTAGCAGGATCCACTTTCACTCCCATCTCAGATATAACATGACCCATAAATTAGAATTCTCTCGACCAAAATTCACATTTGGACAATTTTGCATACAACTTTTCGTTCTTCAGAAGTTCAAGGATTAGACGAAGATGTTCAACATGCTCTTTTTCAGATTTTGAGTATATAAGAATATCATCGATAAACACAATAACGAATTTATCAAGATATTTACTACATACCCAGTTCATTAGATCCATGAAAGTTGCAGGAGTATTGGTTAAACCGAAAGGCATAACCAAAAACTCCTGATGTCCATACCGAGTTTGGAAAGCAGTATTCGCAACATCTTCATTTCTGAAAAGTAACAAGTTCCCACAGTTGATCAAATAAATCACCGATTCTTGGTAAAAGGATACTTATTCTTGATTGTCAGCTTGTTCAACTCCCGATAATCAATACACATCCGTATCAATCCGTCTTTCTTCTAGACAAATAGAACCGGAGCACCCCAAGGTGAAGTACTTGGTCTGATGAAACCTTTGTAAAGAACATCTTTCAACTAGGTAACAAACTCTTTTAATTCTGATGACGCCAAACGATAGGGTGCTCTAGCTACTGGTGCTGCTTCGGGTACCAAATCAATGTTGAATTCAATAAGAAATAGAAGTGACATTTATACTTTGCAAAAAACAACACCAGATAAGAGAAATCAATTCTTTAAGTGAAAATGGCACTTTTGTTTTTGAATATTATCATAAGCTAAACTCTTTCTGAAACCAATTTGATGCTCTAGTAAAACTCCCATCCTTTACTTGTAAGGCATCTCACGACTTCCTAGAACGTAGCCAACTGATCTAACTTATGCAATTCCTTTTGGGATTGAATGAGATTTACCAACCTATTAGAAACAATATTTAAACTAGAGACCGCCTTCCCTCCGGTAAGACTGCTTTCTCCCTTGTCTCAAGGGAGGAATCTCACAGGGGGAGTAGTTTGTCCCAAAATCGTTCCAAAAACTAACACTCTACTTTTCTTAGTAAAAGTATTGATAATAGAAGAAGAAGACCAGGAAAAAATTTCAATAATCTTGTGTGCAAACACTGTGGACCTACGGGACACACCATTGAGAGTTGCTTCAAACTAACAGGATTTTCAAAATCAAATTTGACTCAGACCTCAAAATCAAGGTTTTAAGCCTCAAAATCCAATTTTCAAACCTACTGTCGGAAGTGCTTCTATCTCTGAATCTGTTTCTCCTAAGTCTTCCTTTCCCTTTTCTAAGGAACAGGTCACCAAACTTCTTGGCTTAATTGACCAGAAACCCACTACTGAGGGAGCAACTGCTAATATGGCAGGTATGTTTAAAGCTTTTAAATCTGGTTGGATTATTGACTCAGGTGCCAACCAACGCATGACATCAAATTGTTCCAATTTATATAACATTGTTGATGTCACTGATTTGAATCTTAAAGTTAATCATCCAAATGGAACAAAGGCTAAAATAAATAAAATTGGAAACCTGAATTTATCTAACAATGTCACTCTCTTCAATGTTCTTGTTGTTCCTGATTTTAATGTAAATCTTGTCTGTTCATAAACTTGCTAGAGATAATAAGGTCTTTATTAGGTTTAATGAATCAAAGTGTTATGTTCAGGACTGTCATCAAAAGAATATTGTGGGGACTGGTAGTCAAGAAGGTGGCCTGTATTTCTTTGACTAGAACTTGAATAGTGAGTCATCCACTTCTTCTAATAATCTCAAGATCGTTTGTTATGTGTCCACATAGTTGTGGCATAATCTCCTTGGTCACCCATCTGACCAAGTGCTAAAAGTCTTGAAAGATAGACTTAACATTGGAAGTGACACTTGTGGTCTGTGTGAGGTTTGCCATAAGGCAAAACAAACACGTGAAAAGTTTGATTCCAGCTCTCACAAATCTCAAAGTCTTGGTGTTGTTCACTTGGATGTATGGGGACCCTACCATGTTCAGAGTAGGGTGGCAATTTGAAGAAGTGATGTTGAAGGAGTGGTGCAACACCTGTTTGAAAATTTTGAAGAAGTATTGTTGAAGGAGTGTTGCAGGCATGCTGCAGCACCCGTGTGGGATGACATGCTGCAACACCTGTGTGGAAAAAAAATTAAACAGATAAAATTTAGGCGAGTTGATGCCTCCTGATCTTTGTATAAAAATAGTACATTGTAGATCTTTGTATATTTCGGGTAATTTTCCATCATCTATAAGCTAAAAAATATAAAAGTCATGATAAAACTAAAGACTACTAGAGATTAAAATAAATGATGGAAAATTAGCCGAAATATAAACTAAGTTACGACGATTAATAAACATGATAACGATAATTTAAACTAGATTTAAACGACTAAATAAAAAGTTACGATAAATAAAAACGAAAATTTAAATTACGTTAATGTAACGACGTTATATAAATGACACTAACAAAATAAAGCAATAAAGGACGATTCATAAAAAATTAAAAGTAAAGAACTATATATATATATATATATATACATACTATATTAATAAGTATTTAGGCCAAAATCTTAATTACAACCCTTTAAGCGCATAGTACTAACCTTTAAAGCCTGAATTCAAAAAATCTCTTAATCACAACTCAAAAAGCATAATGTACAAGCTTTTGATGCAAGGATTTTAAACCCAACTAGAAAGGTTTGAGACGATCTTTCTATCACAATCTTTTATACACCTTCTTCAACTTTTACTTTCCCAATTGAAATTCAAAATTGAAAATCAAAGCTTCAAAAGCACGGTCCATCTCTTCCACATCTCTCCATCTTCCATTTGTCCAAGCTTCAAGAAAATAATCATTGTTGGAGCAGATTCATGGAGAAACACAAT